ACTGCCCACGGCTCTCTGCCATACCCAGGAAGGTGCCTGGTTTCTAGCGGGATTCCACACATACCACACCTGCCTGGGACAAGCAGGCAGAGGAAGGCAGTGAGACTGGGCTGAGGTTCACTTAGTGAGCACCTACAACTCCTGTCTTGGTGAATGAGGAAGAGAAAGCAGGCAAATTGCACGGGGCTGCAATGTGATGCAAGGGAGGGAAGACTCATTAAGGTAAAGACCTTAGGTGGGGAGATTATCCCAGCTCATCCCAGTGGGCCCAAGGTATCCTGGTAAGTGAAAAAGGAAGGCAGGAAGATCAGAGGAGGAGTGATAAGGCTGCTGACTGGGCCCATAGACCAAGGAGTGTGGGCATTCTAGAAGTTTCTAGAAGCTGGAACAGGCAAGAAACAGATTCTTCCCCCAGAGTCTCCAGAAGGGACCCAGATCTGCTGACACCTCCATTTTAGCCATGTGAGACCCATTTTTGAACTTCTGACCTCCAGAACTGTCAGATGATAAATCCGTGTTATTTTAAGCCACTGAGGTTGTAGTGATTTGTTACAGCAACAACAGGCCACAGGCGCCTAAGGACATCTGGGAAACCGTAGCCCTGTGCCTGGACCAGACTGTTCTCAGACCAAGCTGAGCTGGGGGTGCTGACAAGGAGGATGAGTTCATGCCAGATTATCGACCACACGTGGCAGCCCCCGATTGTGCTGTGTGGGGGGCTTCTCTGAGACTGATGATGTACTCCCGGGGGCCTTATGCAAACGGATTGGGTGATTTGTATGTAATGCAGGACCAGGAGTGGGTGAGGGAGCTTCCAGAAATGCTGTTCATCCTCATGCCCTGGATGTTACCACCTGTTACCAAGTGCACACCTCGGGCCAGGAGCTCGCACCTCTGACTGCCCTCCCATATGTCGCCATTCTCTCTGCTGTGCGCCCCAACTCTCCTTATTCCCTCCTGCACCCTTACAGAAGAAAACCCTGAGCAATTGGCCCAAGCTGTGGCTGTATCTGGCCCTAAATACAGGTGTCTGTTGACACACTGGTGGTGCATTGAGCGGAGGCTTAGTCAGAAGGGAAGGAATCAGAGGTCCTAGATTGGTTAGTCATGGTCTGGGGCACAAGCTTCAGAATGCAGATTTCACCCCAGGGTTAGGAAAGATTTCTTTAATGGTGTTTTTAACTATTCGTTCTGTTACTTCCATGTAGCAAACTCCATTTTTATAGATGGACAACACCCCAAAATTCATGTGTTCTTCTAAAGTTAAGCCGATTGCCCCAGTATAAATATTCCCACCATGGCCAACATCAAGCTATCAACGTGATGTTGCTGAATGCAGAGTCTGGAAGAGAAGGGCACAGTCAGCTCTCCAGAGCTGGCCGCCCACTGCTGCTCCTTTCTGCCCTCCACCTTCACCTTCTCTGCAGGGGGAGGGATCCTCGACAGAAGCATGGCTGGAGTGCCCCTGGAGCACTTAGGATGGGCCAGGCATCGTTCAAAGGGCTTTCACAACAGCAAATCCGTGTGGTAGGTAGAAATGAGGAAACAGGCCTGGGTGAAATCACCAGTCCTACGTCATCCAGCTGACATTAGGAGAGCGGACATAGGAACGTCACTGGTCTCAGTGTCCATAATCTTAAAAGTACCCTATTCTCTAAAACTGCATTGTCTATTACAGCAGCCAGTAGCCACATTGTCTATTTAAACTGAAATTAAATGTAATTTAAAATTCAGTTCCTCACTCACACTAGATACATTTCAAGAGCTTAATCACATGTTGCGAGTGGGTACTATATTTGATGACACAGACACAATATATTTTCATCATCACAGAAAGTTCTATTAGACAACGCTGCTCTAAATAGACTGTCACAAAGAAAGAAGCCACACACATTTGCTTGGAAATACAGATGATTTAATGGCCTTTGTTGACTGCTACAACATAAAAACTCAAAATATGCAGTTTTATGTCTCTTCGGCTCTGAGATAAGCAAGTTCATTCACTTATTCATTCACTCAACACACATTAACTGAGCACCTACTACATTCCAGGACCCAGGCTAGGTTCTGGGGATAGAAAAAATTAAAGGGACACAGCTTCTGTTCGCAATCTGATGGAGGAGGCATATAAGTAAAAAGGCAACTGTGATGCCATGAGGAGAGTGTTCTGGTGGGGGGTTTGAAGGTGATATCAGAGACTCAGACAGGCAGTCAGCAGAAGCTAAGGCCTTGGCGAAAGGCTTCACTGAAGAGGTGATTTCCTAACTGGATGTTGAAAGACGAACTGGAGTTGGCAGGTTACAGATATTTTAGATAGAATGTTTCAAAACTCAAAGAGAGGCCCAGGAGAACATGAGTCATTCAGGGACCCATGAGTGAGCAGGTCGGATTGGTATCTAGGATGCAATGGAAGTGAGAGACTAGAACAGAAGTCAGGTGTTCCTGGCGGGGTGTTGAGAGACAGATGTGGGAGAGGGGACAAGGGAAAGAGAAAGAGTTTCAGTTTGGATGTGCCAAGTGTGATGTGCCTGGAGAACATTCGAGAGAGCATGTGGGGCTGAAACTCACAAGCAAGGCCTGGGAATAGAGAGTTAAGAACATCAGCCTCAAGGTAGTGATTCAACAAAGGGCCTAGCCGGGATCATGCAGGGAGTGTGTGCAGAGTGAGATAAGGACGAACCAAGAGTGACCAGAAAGAACAAACCCAACCCCAGGAAACACCAATGTATCGGTGGCATGTAGAGAAACAGGGTTAGGGAAGAAGATGGAGAAACCACGGATATCAGAGGATCATCACAAGGAAATGATACTCAGAAATCAAGGGTTGGGAGTGTCACCTGATGCAAGGAAGCCAAATACGGACAAGAAGCTACCCCGCCAGAGGTGACCTTGTATGAGCCATATTAGTGGAGTTCAGGAAGCCAGCCTGCAGTGGGTTCAGGAAGAAATGGAAAGTGAAGAAAGGCAGATGATAACTATGAGAGACAAGTCCTTTAAAAAAAAATACTTAGCTGTGAAGATTATGATCCAAGAATCCTCAGCATGTTTGTTGATGAAGAAGGCAGGGGATGGAGGAACATCAAGGTGGAGAGGGTGGAGAGGGAATTACAGGTGAAACAAGGCCGAGGACATCAGAGGAGTCAAGGGCACAGGTGGAGCATTAGTTTTGTGGGAGGAGAGGGGCTCCTGACATGAGAAAGAGGGAAAGAAGGTCAAGCACAGACAAGACGTGCATGAATGTGGGAAGAGAACTGAGGGCGTCCCATCTTCTGACCTCTGTTTCTCTACGAAGCAAGAGATGAGCTTCTGCTCAAAGCACAAGACTGGACAACAGAGGTGAAGGCCTGAAATAGCTACTGGGCAAAAGGGAGAGAGCCAATGAGGGGCACATGAAACACTTCCGGGCTGCACCCAAAGGCCAGCTGAGGTTGGCAAGGAGTGTGGAGAAGTGCCTGTGTTCAGAGAGGTACACAGAGGATGGTGACAAAGAAGGGAAGAGGCTTGGAGGGCGGTTTTACAGGAAGGCAGGAGAGTGATCATTTGAATGTGCTCTGGATTCCTGGGAGAATGCTGTAGCCATCTCTAGGCCTATTAGAATGAAGGCTTGGAAGACTGTCAGTCTTCCTGTGAAAGCTTCTAGAGAAGGGGATAACCTTGAAGAAGAGTTGAATGCCAGGCATGAGTATTCTGCAAAGAGGTAGCACACTCACAGAGCTTTGGACCAGTTTTTGGCATATTTGCAGAGCCACTGGAGAGGTTAAGAGGGAAGCAGCAGGTGGTTCTGAGGATGAAGTGGGGGATGGAGGAACTAACATTTGAGGCAGAGGTGACAAATATGGGGCTTGGTGGGATCACTTCAAGATGGTAGCTAGAGCTCTGGGGTCATGGTTTGGAAGACTTGGTGACACCCCCTAATGGAGATCTTTGCTCCAGGATTCCCCTAAAACATTGGTGAGAATTCTAGAACTCCAGAAGATAACAGGACAACTAGATTGGCTGATTCCAAGACCCTCACTCTTGGGTGGAAACCACAGCAACCTCCCAGGACATGATGGCAAGTGGGTCACATCACCAAGGAGATCCTAACCTAGGCGTGCAGAGTCTGGATTAGACATTCTTCTAATCCAGAAGAGAGGTGAGAGAGCAGAGATCCCAGGGCATGGGCAGTGAAAGAAATTAAGCAAAGGAAATCATAATTATTCCTTACCAAGAACAGAAATTTACTGAGGGCCTATGATGATGTCTAAGCCGGTAAAGACCATCCAGGCACATGTCAGCAAATAAAACTCCCCAAAACCAATTCTGCTGAACCCAAGACCATCGCACAAGTTTCTCCCTCAGGTTCATCCTGCTATGACTTCAATCCTAGTTGCTCAATGGCCAGAAAAATCTCAGATATTGTCCAAGTAGCACCCACATCACAGGGAATCAAAGCTTGGCAGTGAAGGTGAGGGAAGGAGACATTTTCTGGGTATTTTAGAAATAGTTTCTGAATAATACTTGCAATCCAGACCTTAAACTGAGGCCTCCAATGGCTAGGGCAAAGCCACACCTCTTTCTGCATATTCACCTCATTCTCATATTTACTAAGAGGTTTTGGTTCTCTGAGTAGAATCTAAATGGTCCAAACATGGCCCCTTCTTCATAGTTCCATGCTAACCTGAGGAAGCCAGACGTCACCCATCTTCGTCGGATAAGACCTGAGTATTCCAGACCCTGAATGAGACCAGCAGCCCCAGAGATAACGCAGATCCGTGAGCAGCCTCCTGAGGCTCCAGGCACCTGCCACCCTCGCCTCAAATGTCACCTCCTCCATAATGCCCTTCCCAATGCATACACACCCCCCCACATACCATACAAATGCCCTCCACTGTGCCCCCCCATACAGTTTACCACTGCATTTATTTCACTTTGCTTTAGCTGTTTACATTTTGCCTCCCCAGAGACACTTGAAGCTTCTTTATCCCTAGGGCTTTCCACCCAATAAATATTGGTAGGATAAGCTGGGCTAGGCGGGCCTGGGATAGGGTTCAGCTGAACTGAACTAAGTTTAATGAACCAAAATGACCTGAGGAACACAGGACAGTACATTCCCACAGCAACAAGAGTGAACATCCTCATCAAGGGTCTTCCCAGAAACCCACTCCCTCCAGAATGTCTCCCCAGTTCCCCAGGCACGGAGCCCGCCCCCACCAGACAGGGCTTCATTGCTTCTTATGGAACAGAGCCGGGGTTGGCTCACTGCTGGGCTCGGCCATGACCTGCATGGGCTGGTTGTTCAGCGCAGCCTCGCGCATCTTGTGGTACATGAACTCGTTCTGGCGGAACATGCGCAGCTCCATCTCCGTCTGCACCCGCATGGCCTGTGGGACACAGATACGCCATATACAGTGACAACAGGCCATAGGGACATACTGGCTTCTGACCTACCTTGGTCCTTTTGTAAAGGGCAGACAACAGAGTAAATGACTCCCAGTCACTGAGATTCAGCTGCACGCACTCAGAGGACACACTCACACACACTCAAACATACTCACATACAGACACATACAGTCAAACACACTGACACAGACACAGACACACACAGACACACACACACACACACACACACTCATCCTCTGGGGGCTTAATGTCCTGGGAGTGGGCTTGGTTTGTTAGGGAGAGGGAGTCAGATGCCTGAGAGAGTCGCTCGAGGGAATGTTCTTGGCAAAGAAGGCCTGTTTGCAGGAACGGACCAGAGGGGACCTAGATTTGAACGCTGGATCCTGCATACAGGTCCCCACTAACATTCTGGGACCTTAGGTAACTGACAATCCCTTCAGGGTTCAGTTTCCTCATACATAAAGTAGGTGAGATTCCTTCATACTTCACAATGGACCAGGAAGGGTATAGTATGTGACATACAGAAAAGCCCCAGGCTCCCACATTTCTATTCAAGCACTATTTCTCAGGCATCACTGAGGGGCTGAGGATACAGCAGTCAAGCTTAGTATACTAGGCATAAAGTTAGTCTTCTCAGACATTTTATGACACCAAAATCTATCCTCTTTCCCTGTACTGTACTGCCTGAGGACAGTCCTTTGAACTCTGTCACCCTCAAACAAACCAGCCCTTCAAAGCACAAAGGAAAACAGCAATTATTACGAGCATGCCACTTGCTAGGCACTGTTCTGAGTGCTTTTCACACATTAACGCACGGAACCCTTATCACAACCCTACCCTTTTGCCCATTTTACTGCTGAGGAGACTGAGGCACACACATTCCATGTCTGTGCTCACACAGCTGGAAAGGGGTGAAGCTGGAGTTTAATCCCAGCAGTCTGACTCCAGAGTCTGTGCTCCCCAGCTCCACGCTACACAGCACGTCTTGCAACGTACGTGGGTGCACGCACACTGCTGGGTGGGCTTTCTCCATCCACGCTTGGAGCAGCTCGGGCTTCGAACCTCAACTTTGCCATCCACTCGCCATGGTACTATGGCCAGGCTAGGCCCTTCTGGGGGCTTCAGTTTGCTCAGATGTAAAACAAGGCGAGAGTGGTCTAAAGCATTTCTGAATTTCTTTCTGCTCCAGTGGGCAATCTATGGACTTTCCAAAAAGCAGAGTCCAGAACCCAGCTCCCATCTGTAGAGAGAGCTCGGACCAGAAAAGGAGGCCCAGCCCTGACATGCTACTTGCCTCTAGGTCCTTGGTGATTGGGTGGGAGGGTCCGTGGGTCACCAGGAGAATGGCGTAGGCTTTGCAGATCATCCCGTGCCCCACCTCGATGTTACCAGCATGCCAGTTGGTCAGCCCTGCCCGCATCACAGCCATCCCCAGTTGGGCATTATTGGGGTGGTAGAGCTTCCTGTGGGGACACAGCAAATAATTGTCACAGATAATCCCAACCTTCCTTACATCTGCATAGCATCTGACAACTTACCAAGTACCCTCATTGACTTGGTCCATCCGCTCTCCCACCAGCGCCGTGAGGCATCTGCATCCCATGGAGCAGGGACTGAGCCACAGAGAAGGGGAGAAGCTACCAAACACCCCGTACGGTGAGGCTGTGGGAGCGGAGACTCTGCCCTGGGCCACGAAGCCAAGTCCTCATGGGCAAAAGAGTCAGGACTCCGCACGGGAAAACAGGAAGAGGGGAGCTCTCGGGGACACCCCAGCCCTCTTCCTGGAAAGCAGAAGTTCAGGGGAATAAAAGAACTTGAATGTCCTTCTTGGGACAGAACTGTATTCTCACCTCCTTGGCACCCTCCTAATAGTTTCCTTTTAGCATATTGCATCATTTTCCTGGCTTTTGTTTATGAATAACATTCTCGCAAAAAAAGGAACCTGCTTATGCCAACTTACTCATTTGGCCAAAGATACAAAGTCACATGCCAATGTGGACATGGAAGGCAAGAGAAGACATTGGCAGAGGGACGGCAGGGGCTCTGCATTTTATAGTTTGAAAGCAGGCTTGGCTAACACCTCTTCTATTCATTCATTCACTCATTCATTCATTCATTCATTCATTAATAAAAGAAAGGTTGCCTATGCTGACTGCTGGAGAGACAAACCTTTCTGAACACTTAAATTAAGTGGGACTTAGCCTTAAGAAAACCAAAAGCAGAAGCCACTGCCCAAGTGATAGATGAGCTGGAGGATGTGGGAAAGACAAGAGATGACAGATAGGTTTCATCGCAGGTACCAGCCCTGAAGATCTGGTTATTACTACTCAAAGTACTGCGGTAAAAATGCTCAGTCGTAAAGATAGAGAGAATCAGAATCGATTACTGATGCCTGGGTGAGTTACAGGAAGGGGAAGTAGCAACGTGTGTGCTATTTGCCATCCCTGAAACAGACACATTCCAGGGTACTTTCTGAGACCCAGCACTGCTACCTACATATAGCCATCCACCATCCTCCTGGCGTAGAAGGAGGCCTCCTCGAAGGCCTGGAGGTAGGAGAGGACCTCGGAAACAGTGCTCAGCATCCGCAGCGTGTAGAGGTTGGTGTCGGTAAACACTGGCTCCTGCTTCTGCAGGCACTCCCGGCATAATTTCACAACCTGGAGGAGACACAGGCCCCGTCCATTACCACTGCCCTCACGCAGGGGAGCGTCACCATAACCCTGGACGCCCCTTCTTTTAAGGCTCAGGACATTGCTGACAGGGGTGGAAAAGCCCAAGTTTGTGATCTGAATAGCAAAACGGTCCTATTTTGCTACGAGTGGGGATGAAGAGGGTAACAGCGGGAGATGTGGCTGACATGGCAACAAGCAAAGAGAGGTGTCCTCATGATCAGTAGGGAGCAGAGAGTTATGAAAGGGAGAGACTGATAGACTGATTGATTCTCACAACAGTACAATGACATAGATACTACTAATATTCCCATTTTGCCAGATAAGGAAACTGAAGCACAGAGAGAGTAAGTACTTGGCCAAAGTCACACAGGTAGTAAAACATGGAGCAAAAATTCAAACTAAGCAGTTATGCTTTATCTTAACAACCATTCCTGTGATTCTCCACCCTGGTTGGGCTCTGGAATTACCTGGAGACCTTTTTAAAAATGGCACGGTGTGCGGGCCCTACCCCAGACCAAGTGAAACCAAATATTGGGGGCTGTGTGGAGACTGGGTGGGGGGTGGTCCCTGGCATCCGTAGTTTGTACAAGCCCCTGGGTGGTCCTTATGCGCAGTGAGGTTGGACAATCATTCTCTGAGGAAAGTGTACAAGATGAGCTGGCAGAGAGGCTCCCAGGAGGCCAGGAGACCCACCAGGAGGGTGTCGCATTGGTTCTGGTGAGGAATAAGAAGCTTGGAGTCAAGCTTTCCTGCCTGACTCAGGTGTCTACATAGGCTTAGGTTGACCCTACAAAGTCAGATGGTCTCTGGATTTTAGTTGCTCATTGTTCTCTTCTTGCCTTGCCACTGTCATGGGAGAAATGCCACATAATTCTTCCATTTCAAATGAGCAGAAGCTAAATTTGCTCTGAGATTCTCCCAGTCCCATGAAGCAACAGGGTCAGGGTGTGACAAAATGTGGGCCCACATCCATTCATCTCAAAGACAATCCTCTTCAACCCATGGGACCAGTGTCCAGCCCTCCACCTGGCCCTGCTAAGTTTGTACAGAAGAGAAAAAATCGGAGGAGGGAGCCAGCGCAGTCCTTCTGGTTGCTCCAGCCCCTACATCAGGCCTCTGATGCAGGGTTTCCATATTGTACAATAACACACATCGACGTAACCATCTCCCCACCTGACAGAACTCCCAGAAAGGAAGGAGCAGGTCTGTGTTGGTCACCCCACTAAGGGCTCAAAAATGTGCAATGAATGAGTAAATGAGGAGGATGAAGATAAAGGACAAGCAGACAGAAGTGAACACAAATTGTTCTCTCACATTGCCATGCCTTAGTGGTTTCCAAGCCCGGCTACATGCCTGAGATGTTTAAAAAGCTTGGAAACGAAATACTGGTTCGCAGTCTGTTGCAGACTGGATGAATCAGAGGGGGTGGGACACAGGACTGTGCATTTCCAGCAGGCTGCCCCCAGTGACTTTGATGAAATGTTCTGCAGGTCAGTGTTTACTTGGGAGGGGGGTTGGGGGGTGGTTTGTCTCAACTTTTGGTGCCTGTTGAGATCGCTTGAGAGCTTTAAAAATCCTGATGTCTGGGCTCCATCCCAAGAGATTTTGATAAAATTGTCCTGGGTCAGTGTCTGAGCATCAGGACTTGTCCATGATTCTAGTGCACAGACAGTTAATAACTTCTGCTCCTTTGAGAGCCAGGGCTGAATACTCAGTAGAGACTGAAAACTGTAGCCAGGACATGGATTCAATTATGAAAAAGCAAGCAATCCACTGCCATCTCCATTCCGCCACCTCTGATGTCAACCTGAGCTATCACAGATCCCCCAGGGACATTTGTCAGGCTGCCTGTGCTCTCCCCAGACCCAGTTTCAGTAGGCTGAACAGTCCCTGACAACATACCTCTAAGAGGCTCTGAAGACAAGAAGAGTCACAGTCCGAACCAAGGGACATCCTCCAGAAAAACAACCTGCTTGGTAGTCTCCCCATCTCCACCCACTCCACCTCACCCCACCCTCTGCCCCACTTACCAAAGAACCTTTTTGCTCTCTTCCCCATCCCATCCCTATAAAAACGAATTCTTACCTCATGGTACAGACCCTCAGAGCGAGCCTTGTCAATTTTTTCCAGGGTATCCTTGGAGAATTGTATCATCTCCTTTACCACCTCCTGAGACGGCTGGGAAAGAGAGGGACGATGAGTTAGACCCCCCCCTTCACAAAGCAACCCATTGCATCTCTGCAGAGTCGCCATCTTTGACATTCAGTGTCGTGCAAAATGGAGGCCTTCCTCATTCTGAATGCTTCACTTCCATGCAGGAAGCTCCAGATCCCTACAGCTTTTGCAGCTCCCTCATCAAGCTCCTAACTCAGGGGCACTTTCCACTGACCAAGCCCCAGAGCCTTGCTGGCAGCCAGTCGTGTCCCACCTTGCACTCACGCCTGGGTTTTTGGACCCCAGGGCCAAATCGGACCTTGAATTCTGTGGTATTTTCTCTGGCATTTTGGATTTTTAGCCTATCACCTGAATATTTACCATTGTTCCTCATTACTTCAAGTCAACCACATATGCCCATGCATTTTAGTCTTTGCTCAACTCTGATTTACATACTGACCAGCACAGAGCTGAGGACTGAAGCTTAAGGCTTGACCAAAAAAAATCCTACTCCAGTTTGCCACTGGAATTCATTAAAAAGGGGATTTTTGGCTGTGTGCATTCAGATCCTTCTGAAGTATCTTAGCATCCAGTTCCTAGTTCTTTGTCTTGACCAGGTTGTAACATAAGAGAGTTTGTCAGCTGTCTCTGTTGAAATCTGGATTCATTAGGCTTATAGCATTTACCTGAATGGTTAGTGATTTTTTTTTTTTTAAGATTTACTCATTTATTTGAGGTGGGAAGGGGCAGAGGGAGAGGGCGAATGAGTCTTAAGCAACTCTGTGCTGAACAAGGAGCCTGATGCAGGGCTCCATATCATGACCCTGAGATCCTGACATGAACCGAAACCAAGAGTCAGATGCTTAATCAACTGTACCACCCACCTTGGGTGCCCTTCTAGTGATCTTACGTTTTTAAAAGATTATTTATTTATTTATTTATTTATGTCTCAGAGAGAGAGAGAGAGCAAGGGCGAGCACACAAGCAGGGCAAGAGGCAGAGGGAGAAGCAGGCTTTCCACTGAGCAAGGAGCCTGATGTGGGACTCAGTCCCAGGACCCTGGGATCATGACCTGAGCCGAAGGCAGACACTTAACTGACTGAGCCTCCCAGGTACCCCCCTAATGATCTTATTTTTAAAGAATGAGGTTTTGCTTTTCAGGGAAAGAGGTATCTCAATTAAAAAGCCCATGAAGGCATCACAATTTTGAAGAAAGTAGTGCCAAAGTTCTCAATTTCCAAAGAAAAAGTTTACTTGCTGTGCTTGTCCATATGAGAAACTCCTTTCTGGAATTAACTTTTTTTTTTTTTTTTTTTTTTTTTTTTTTTTTTTTTTTTGCTTAGGCATATCTGATAAAACTTTTTTCCAAAATGAAAATACTTCATTATTTATTTGGGCCCCACAAAACTGATAGATGGAAACTGTAAAAAATCAAAACATATGAAAAAAAGTAGGGAATAAAAATAGAAATTCCTACAATCCACTCCACGATGAACACACCATTTCGAGGAACATTTTCCAATGCATACATATAGGCATAATATTTAAAATATTTAACAACTGGCCAGGAAAGGCACTGACCAATCAGAACAGACACTGACCATAAACAGGAAGCATGTCGATTATGGCCTTATCAGCACCTACTGGCTGAATTGCATTCCGTAGGTGTACACAGGCGTGTGTGTATATGCCAACAGCACAAATAGTTCTTCCAACTGGAAGTGTACCAGATTTCTGTCTATAGTCTGTTCTTTCACTCAGTAGGTATGGATATTTTCCCATACCAATATAAAAACACATTACCACTTCAATTAATTGTAGAGTTTTCCACTGTATAAAGCCAAAATAATTTAGTTAACCAGTTCTCCAGTTTTCCAAATTTCTCACTATAAGGAATTGAGTTCAGAGGCTTCATTTAGATTTTCTGCCTACATTGTTTTGTGAGGTCACCTTCTCCACACTATCAAAAAGTAACAGGAGGACGGGCATTCGTTCCCTTAAAAACACACTCCCTTAAGAGATGGAGATCAGGATCTTCCCTCAGCTTCCCAGGTGTCCTGAGCCAGTGCGGCAATGTCCACTTTATAGTACGAGAGGCCCTGGCCAGGACGGCTTGCTTCTGGGTCAGGATCTCCTAAAGGAATGGACTTTCTACTTAGGCCTCTATTCACCTCACCTACTCTGGCTTCTCTGAAATTCTTGTCCCTTCAATTTTGACTATCTTCTTTTCCCTCTGTACCTGGCCTCCTTGGAATCCTGCATATCTACCTGCCCTTGTCACACAGCTTGACTCCACCACTGAGGTAGCCACCGCTGCTGTTACTTCTGCTCACAGGCCTCACTCCTGATCTCACCTTTGTCTCGATCTTTAATATGGCCGAGATTTCTGGCTTCTGGCTATCTTCTAGTCCCAGAGTGCTACTTAGTCTTCTATGGACTTGGACCTTGTCTTGGTTATAGACAAGTCATTTTAGTGCATATTCACTTTCCTAAACTCATTTCAGTCAAGCACATAAGTAAAAGGGGGTCCACATCTCACCTGGTTGTACAGAGCTCTGTAACTGGTAGTCTAGAGGTGTACCACTAGTCTGCCAAACCTAGATTTTTTTGTAACATCCATAGCTTGTTGCCCTAACAGTGGCTCATAGAATCAATCTAGTTTACGATCACTGGTCTCTAATCTAAGTTCCATCATCTTTAAAACTCAAAATTCTGGGGCACCTGGGTGGGTTAAGCCACTGCCTTTGGCTCGGGTCATGATCTCAGGATCCTGGGATCGAGCCCCATATCGGGCTCTCTGCTCAGCGGGGAGCCTGCATCCCCCTCTCTCTCTGCCTGCCTCTCTGCCTACTTGTCATCTCTCTCTCTCTCTCTCCCCATCAAATAAATAAATAAATAAATCTTTAAAAAAAAAAAAACCTCAAAATTCTTAGTGAATCTTCTGTAGTAATAGATAGCTTGCAGGGTAGAGTTGGAGAATACCAAGTGGTCAGATGTTAATAAAAAGTCTTGTTTGATTTGACGTTGAAAGGAAGAGTGTTACTTCAAGCTCTGGAAGTGAATCAAATTTTTTCAAGGAGGCAACTGCCAAGATTCTCAAAACAACCTGGCTAGAAGCTTGTTAATTACATGTGCAACATGTGATAAAGCTATTCTGAGAAAGGAAATGGGGCTGTTCCACTTGGCTCCACTTTTCAGAGTAAAGGCAAGAGGAAAGCATGATCCACAGCTAGGATTTAAGGAACCCTACAGAGAGAGACTCCCCTCCCTAGAAACACAAAATAGACAACCAGGAGGGAAAGAATAAGGAACTGGATGGAGCAGGGGGAAATGACAGTGGAGGAGGAGCCAGAGGAAGGCTAGAGGAGGAAGGGGAGGAGTCAGCAGAGGGGGAGGAGTCACTGAAGGGAGAAGAGCTAGAAGAAAAAAGAGGGATGCTGGTTCCCCAACCTTGAAAAACTAGTACCTTCCTATTGTGAAAACCAGGGGTGAGGGCTGGGGAGAGAGAAAAGAAAAACCCAAGGAACCTAAACAGGGAGGCTCCAAAGCTACAGTTAAGGGGAATGTTCTACATTGTGGTGTTATTTTCTCATTTTTAAAAATATTTGGTTTTTATTTTTATCCAGGTTACCACATACATTTAACTTTGGAAGGGAGAAAAGAGTCTGGTTTCTTAACAAAAAATTAAGTAATGGTGGGAGCAAGTTATGAAACAAATACCCAGGGCCACACATCAGGAAGGAAGACTGGCTGGATTGCAGATAAAACACATTATCCCACAGGTTCTAGAATGTCAGGACGAGGGTGGACACAGGAGCTTATTCTTTCCTGTAGCTCCTATGGTACTGTTCCGTGCTCTGCATACACGTGCCAGTATACATTTCCCATAATATAGAATGTTTGATTTGTGAAAAACAAAAATCCCATATTGGGGCGCCTGGGTGGCTCCATCGGTTAAGCCTCTGCCTTCAGCTCAGGTCATGATCCTGGAGTTCTGGGATGGAGCCCCTGCATCAGGCTCCCTGCTCAGCAGGGAGTCTGCTTCTCTCTCTCCCTCTGCCCCCACACCCCCTGCTTGTGCATGGGCTCTCCCACTCTGGTTCTCTCTCTGTCTCAAATAAATAAATAAAATCTTAAAAAAAAAACACACACACACATAATAATTCATGGGCCCCAACTCCTTTGTATCCTGTCCGGGAAGGGTGACTCTCAATTTGTCCACACCAAGCATCACTGATGTATTGTTTACAGCCTTCTCCTCCTCCTACCATCTGTATCAAGCCTGACTATGCTTACACAGGCATATGTGTGCATGGATCTGTGTGTGTGTGTGTGTGTGTGTGTGTGTGTGTGTGAGAGAGAGAGAGAGAGAGAGAGAGTGTGTGTCCCTTTTATTTTTTATAAATGGTAGCATTTTTATAAATGATAGTTTATAAACAGTGTAATGGATTGAATTCCATCCTCCCAAATTCATATGTTCAAGTCCTAACCCCCAGTACCTCAGAATGCACCTTACTGGAAATAGGTCACTGCAGACTTAATTAGTTAAGATGAGGTCTTAATGGAGTAGCGGGGTCCTTAATCCAATATGACTGGTGTCCTTATAAAAAGAATATCAGGTGAAGACAGAGAAACACACACTGTGAAGAGACGCAGAGAGAAGACAGCCATCTGAGAGCCAAGGAGAGAAGCTGGAGCAGAGCCTCCTCTCACGGCCCCCAGAGGGAACCAACCTGGCCTACATGCTGATTTCAGACTGCCAGGCTCCAGAACTGGGAAAGAGTACATCTCTGTTGTCATCCCACTTCTGGGTACTGTGTTATGGCAGCCCTAGCGAACCAATGCAGTGGCAGTGTTTGGTCCTTAATTCTTTTCCCTTAAAGAGCTTACATTCTTTTCTCTTAAAGAGCTCATTCCAGTTAAGCCTCTGCTTCAGCTCAGGTCATGGTCCCAGGGTCCCACATCGGGCTCTCTGCTCAGCAGGGAGCCTGCTTCCTCCTCTCTCTCTGCCTGCCTCTCTGCCTACTTGTGATCTCTGTCTGTCAAATAAATAAATAAAATCTTTTTTTAAAAAAGAGCTCATTCCATATTTGTCCACAAAAATTTACCTCATTGGTTTGAGTGACTGCAAGGTAATTTAATTTAAATTTTCCCAATTGGTGATTATTTAGGTTTTATTCAGTTGTTCTCAACAATGCTGCAACATATCTCTTTATACACATACCTTTGTGCACATGTGTAAGTAACTCTGCTGGGTAAATTCTTGGAAGTAGAACTGTTTGGACAAAGAGTAACAAATATTACATCCTAAGAATAAAAATAACTTAGTGGCAGGGCACCTGAGTTGCTCAGTGGGTTAAGCGTCTGCCTTTGGCTCAGGTCACGATCCCAAGGTCCTGGGATGGAGTCCCATGTCCGGCTCCCTGCTCAGTGCAGAGTCTTCCTCTCCCTCTGCCTCTCTTCCCCACTCGTACTCTCTCTCTCACCCACCAAATAAATAAATAAAATCTTAAAAAAAAAAAGTTAGTGGCAAAAAAAAAAAAAAAAAAAAGTCTAGAATGGCCAGAGGATGAATGAGAGAAATGAATCAAGTGGGGAAATAGTGTTATCTGAACATTAGCACTGATAGCATTGAGTAACGAATTAATTGAGAGTGGCCCCACTGTCTGTACCTAGAAGTCAGTTTTGCTCATAGTCTTTGCTCTAATCAGAGGCAAACTTCTGCTCACACATACAATGCAGAAGTTAAGCTCACCAAGAAGCACATTTGTGTATTTGTATCTTAAGTGTACTGGTGGCCTATGGGCTATAGAGAGGGGCTCAGAAAGCCTCCCCCAGGAGTCCAGCTCCTGGTTAAAAACCTATGTGTAATTTTTCAGACCTGACCACAATTACAAAGGCTCTACCTGGCATGCCTGTGGGGGAAAGTGCCCTCCGAACAGTCTCTAAAGGGAGTCCAGCCCTCTGCTGCTCATGTTCCTTGCACAATTTCATTCCCAGCCAGGGGCCTTCATTCCTAGGCCTTACAGGGGAGGAGGAGGGAAATTTGAAGACTCTCTCTCTCACTCCAACCTAGTACCCAGCACTTTTCCACTCCTAGCCCTTCCCCCACACCCTCTCCCTCTCCCTCCCCACCTCAGAATCTATAAAAGTGATGGAGCCCTTTGTTCTGAGTGCCCCAGCAGTGAGAAGACCCCCCACATCTGTGCCCTGACCTCCACCGGTGCTCCCTTCCATGGGGGAAAACAGAACAGGAGGTGGCCAGTTTCAGCCTTTTGTTGATACCATTGCTGGGCTCTCTCCCAGCTTAGCTAAGCTCCTGACATCCCCTCCATGATCCTTCAGCTGCTCAATGGTCTCACCATCAACCAGACAACAGGCTACTCAGGAGTTAAGCATGTTAGCCAGCCTCCACATTGCCCCATGTCCACATTACCCATTCCCAGGGGACTAGGAATACCTTTGTGATAAGCAGGCAACTAGTCTCTTTGCCCATCTGGTCTCAATATATGAAATTCTCAACATTACTTAACCAGCAAAAAGGTAAAGAGAGGAACTAAAATTTACTCAGTGCCACCCTATATGCCACTCCCTTTACATATATTATTTTGTTCGATCCTCTTAACAACCCTGTCTACTGGGTGTTATCATTCCTATTTTATAGATGAGAAAACCGAGCAACTTCCCAGTGTAAACTCCTGGCAAGGGGTGGCCCCAGGACACTAGCTGGGACCTGTTATCTGTGCTCCGTCCACCTCCCATTAACACCTTTCCGACAGTTACAGGCTGGTTCTCCACGAACTAGCCACCAGGGGGCGCTGGTTAGCAGTGAACGCCAGCCTCGTGGGCTCGTGGAGAAGAGGGTCGCAAACACCCCAGTGGCAGGGCCACATGTACCTTTGGGTCATCTTTCACCCCCAGAAACAGGTCATCCTTCAGCTTTTTTTGGCAGTGCTCACAGGTGCAGTCAAAGTAGTACTGCTTCTTCAGCTGCTTCTTGCGCTCTTCGCTGACGTTAAGGAAGTCGATATAGGACACTGTCAGCTCCTCTCCTTCCGAGATCTTACCCAGGGCCCGGAGCTCAATCCTGGAGAGGGTAAAGGAAAGAGGAAGTCAGATCCAGGGCCATCAGAAGGGGCTTTCTGCTCTTCAAGGTCTCTAGGAGTTGAGTCTCAAAGACAACTTCCACTAGCACTCCAAGAAAACTCCCATTTTCCCCACAAAAGGGGAAAATGTGACCTAACAGACAGTTTTCTGGATAATTCTGCTCTACTCATCAACAATCGAATCTGCTCCATTTATTTAATTGATTGGAAATCCAATTAAATCGATTCTGGGTAGAGATCACAAAACCATACCTTGCTTCCATGCTGCAATTATCCCTGTACATTTTGCTACTGATTGCTTGCAACAAAGGGGGTCAACCTCTCCATTTCACAAGGGAGGGCGCTGTCTCCCAGAGGGGAGGCAGAGGGGAAGGAACTTCCCCAGAGGTCCCACAGCACCTTGGCAACAGTCAAGATCAGAAATCAAGTGCCAGTCATGCTTCACCTCATCACACTGCTCTCCCTGGACCGTCCTCCATCTGCTTCCTGGGTCTGCTATGCACAAGAAAGGAGATGCACCAAAGCCCTTCATTTTAGGGCTCTGCCGATAGTCTAAAGAGTTCCATGTGAGCAACTCCTGGGCCAGTGTTGAGTGTGGATCTCTGCCATCTGGACCTGGAGGCATAAGTCAGCAGTTCTGCCCCCCAAAACCCCTTCTCCAGGCACGGCTCCATCGTGATGTTCAACAGTGATCCAGTGCCGGGTGACTTAGGATTTCTAGCAGCTCTGTGTCCCATCATGGCTCAGCCAATTCTTGCAAGGTCTCACAGTATCTCAAATTATTTCAATCATGTTAAGGGAATTTCCAAAGCCAAATTAATTTAATGTCACTTAAATATGAAAATATGGGTGCCCCATTTTACCTTACTTGGAAAGGGGATCAGGGGATAAACAGTGAGCACCACTCCATTCTCCCTCTTCCATCTCTAATGCCCAGCAATTCTAGAGGTCAACTAATTGAGACACACGTGGACAATTTATTTAAGCATTTCTTGGAGAGATTAGAAATGCAGGCCAGAGCTACAGAGACTTAGAACCAGGAAGGTCCCTAGAGACGTCTCATCCTGACCTTGGCTCTATAGATGTGGAAGTAAAGGCCCAGGGAATGATGGAAATTATCTAAAGTCATGTGTGACGCAGGCCAACACAGACTCCAATGTACCAACCACTTCTACCCCTGTCTTCCCAGAGCCCAAACTCCCACGCAGAGTTTGGTTCTTAATCCAAAGAACATTTCAAGTCCTTTTAAACCAAACCTGAGAAAAAGACCCATCTGGGGTTATTTATTTGTCATTAAGAAAAGTCAGAGCAAAATCTAACCTACAACACTAATTCACAATTGGCCAGAAGCAGTAAACAGAATAGTGTGAATAAATATTTATCAAAATTATCACAGTTACAGGGACTATTTTCAGAAGCCAGTATGGGTGGGAAGTTGGGGGTTATAAACAAACACACTTCTTTAGTAGGTCAATAAAATCAGCAGTCCTCCTTTTATGATAAGCAGGACTTTGAGGGACAGTGTGGGCTTTGCTAAGGTGATGTGGACTAGAAGGGACCATCATGCTTTGGGGCTGGGGGAGTGAGAGAAGTCAGGCGTGAAAGACGGGGAAGAAAAGAAGCAAAGGAAAGCAAAGGCACAGCAGGGAGTGGGTGGGTGAGGAACAAGATGATTCATATGTATGCATTTAAAATACAGCATTCAGCAAGGATAAGGCTTTGGGGACACAGGAGAACATTATAGCCGAGAAGCAGCCATGGAGTCTCGGGAAGGGGTGGGCCCAGCAAACCAGGCAAGTGAGGGAGATGGGTCAGAGGAGAAGGGATGCTTGCAAAGACTGACCCACCTCATCTGGGTGTGAAACATGGATTTCACTGCCTCATGACTGAAAGACAAAACAGACACCCGAATGGGAATCATTACCATTGGCTAGTTCAGCACAGCTAGCAAGGGGGCACAGCAACCCAGCTAGTGCGATCAAAGTTTTGGCCATGACAACCAGCTTTACATCCCAGCCCCTTCCAGCCGGGCTCCCTTGACCAGACACAGCCTGGTATAGCGGAAAGCACACTGGCTCTGGAATGAAAAATTCTGGATTCAAAGGTCCTCATCGTTCCTGGGCTCAGTATGCTCCACTGTAACCTGGAAATGCAGTTCCATGAGATAGTACATTTCAAAGTAGGTGCCAAAAACTGTAATGGGATGCTATTGTTATCCCACTCACAAGCACCTTGGCCGAGTAAGTGTTGCCTCTTTGATGTCTATCTTGGGGGACTGTGTGAATTGTGTATGGAGACTGGTTAGGTCACACAGGTCATGTATAAAGTTTGTTGGGGTTAGAATTGGGTTCTTTCCACTATGGCAGGCAGCTGGGTGGTGACTGTAGTCACCTTCTCTTGCACAACAGCCAAGAAGCCAGGTACAATGTGGCTGCTCAAAGTTAGTGGATGCAAAGAAGCTGGAACAGACACCAGGAATGATCTGAAGAAAGGTCTCCCGGGTTCCTGTGGCTGTCACATGTCACAAGGGGAGCCCTGGGTCACCATGGCTTGGGGCAGTGACATCCTGAAAGGCCAGCCCTATATATGGCTGGATTTGATCCAACCAGGCTAACCTGGGACAACAGCTCCTCTGAGGAAAATTCCATGAGGTCCACGCCAGTGACCCCAAGAGGCTTAGGAAGCGAACTGCAAGTGCCACAGGAAAATTACCATTTGGGTCCCAAATAAATTTCTCTGTCTTGAGTGACTTTCTCACTTGCTCGAGAGCCCGGTGTCATGCAGGCCCTTGTTTCCAGAAATAGGAAGGAATGGGGGAATCAGAGGCCCTGCTAGACTAGGGTTTAGGCTTGATTCCTGACTGAAAACCAGAAAGCACTGTCTCTGGTTTCCAGGAAGTTTTGGAAAAGGAAATCTGCTCACTGTTGATGGCTCAGAGTTGACTTGCATCTGTCATAAAAGCTTATCTCATCTCTAAGAGCAAAATAAGTAATACTGCTTAGGTCTTGTTCCCCCAAATCCCCCCCAGCCCTGAGCCATGGACAACAAGAGTCTCTTCCTGTTTGCTGACTTCTCCACTTGTGCCCACCCCCAAGACATATTCTTTGTCCTTCTGTCCCTTGATCTGTGCCTTTGGAGTGTGGGGCGAGGGGTGTGGGCTTCTAAAGGGCTTCATTACTCAGGGTCCTCTGCTCTCTGGCTTCTGGTTGGAGTTTGGCCAATGGGAGGAGATCAGAAAGTGGGAGGAGAGAGAGGTTGGGGTAGTTAGTCATCCGGCTCCCTCTCTGCCTTTCAATGGTTCCAGCAGCAGCTGCTTTCTCTACCAGTACAGCTAAGCTATTGGGTTGTGGGTAGAGAAAGGAACTTCTCCCATGGCTACAGCTCTCACCAGTTGCAGGAACAATATAGTACACCTGACCCCTAGGTCTAGAGGCAGTAATGGTTTCATACTATTGCTAGACTCTGGACATCTCACCATTCCTTGTTAGTTTCTTAAACTTTACCCTTACTTCTATAGATTGTCCTGTTACTAAATTCTCTTTGGGCAAACTCTGAGTGTGCCTTCTGATTTCTGCTGGGACCTTGACTAATATATGCTCTGCCTCAGCCCCTTCTCAGCTGATGCTGTTCTGCAGTGACCTCTAGATAGATAATCCCAGCCTTCAAGCTTTAAAGCAGTAGTCAGAGGTTTACCTAACACATCTAGGCAGCCTCAAGAAACACGCAAAGACCCAGAAATTACCCATGTGGAATTCTTTACTATCCTCCTCATTACCTTTCTCTTATCCACTATGATTCTAGAATGAAATTTCTATTTGCTGCCTAGTCGAAATCCATACTAGTGCAGGTTCCATGGTTTGGTTTAGGTCAAGTGGAGAAAACACTGTGAGGTCTCCCCATCCCCATCACACCAACCCCAGTTAAAGACATACTCACTTGCCGTTGTTAAATATGACGGTGCAGTTGGGCCAACAGTCGTGGTTCACCAGGCCCAGGTTGGGGAAGATACCCACGCCCACCGCCTGCAGGCCCCTCTGGTCACTGAGCGTGAAGCCATTGCAGCTAATCTACCCAGAGGAAAAGATGAAAGAGTCAGTTAACACACATAGATCAGGGACAGAACACCATCCCGGCTGCTGAGAGTTCAACAAAATAGAAAACTCGGTCGCATTCTGGAGATGCGTAGAGAGTCTCCTATTCTCTAGGTCACTCCAAAGGACCCTCGAGATAAGCACCCCGGGGGAGTACCGTACTTGCTAAAATGCAAGGCCACCTTGGAAGTTTTGGGTAGTTGTATTCTATACAAAGGCCAAAGACAGAAATGTTGGTTCTGAGAAGTCTCCTCCTTTTCCTGTATCTGGGTCTCACATGAGTCTTCTCTGGTCTCTATCTTGGTCTCTCTCTCTCTGCCCTGCTCTGCCTGACTTAGTGTGTCTGTGTGTGTGTAGGGGTGGGGGTGTTGTATGGCCTAAGCCTCCACCACCTCTTAGACTCTTAGGGCTACAAGAGGTCTGGCTTTGCTGCTCCAAGACAGCACTCTCCAAAAGTCCTTCCGCTACTCTCCCCAATGTCCACAGCCCCCAGCTCCAGGCTTTCCATTACCCTGTCCACCGTGTCTGGGAAAAGGAATGATCTCATTTTCAATGTGACTGGTGGGCAACAAGGGATAGTGATGGGTCTTTGTTTTCAATACGAACAGGAGAAAAAGTAGAAAGTACAGATAACCAAGAGGGTAAATTTCTATCCAAATCTACCATTTGGAGATAACAAATAGCTTGTGCGTGCGATGCCAGCTTCCAAGAGGGAGGGAATGACTTCCTAGTAAGGAAATCCAGAAAGAAAGAAAGGGGGTGAAAGTTCTTTACTTTGGGCCTCTGTCCCCTCCAGTCCTTCTCTCAGCCTCCCCTCCCACTCTGCCCTGCAGGCTCTGAATAGGTCTTGGCAGACCAATCCCAGTGGTCACCACCACTGCCCACCCCCCACCCCCAGCCTCTGCGACGTCATGAGGAACCGTACCACGCCGAAGATGTGCGAAATGTACTGCATGCTGAACTGCTGGCTCTGGGGCGGCCAATACTGCAAGAAGGTGTCCACGTCCACCCGCAGCTCCTTCTGCTCCTCCTCCCCAAAATGCTCCACGTGGTTCTGCAGGCCATCCACAGCGACCAGGCAGCCCTCGGTGAGCCCGGTGCCCTCTCTCTCCACCCGCCACATGATGCGGGCCGCCAGCCTGTAGACAGGGGCAGGGTTAGGGATGTCCCGACGCAGTGGTTCGTTCCAGAAGCACTTACTGACTACCTACTGCGTGTCAGGCAGTGTTGAACTGTATAGACGGAATTTCTTTAATCATGGAGCTTTTCATAGAGGGGGAGACCCAAGTTACAAATGGAAACTAGTGCTAAGTGCTATGCAGAGAATAAAATAGGGTCATATGATAGAGAGTGGCTGGGGAAAGGGAAGCCATGGTGATCAGAAGAGGTGACGTGGAGGGGGAGCCCCAGAGCTGAAAATGGAATGAACAGAAGGAGTGGGCTCTGGGCAGAGGGAGAAGGAGCAGTGCGCACAAAGACCCTGAAGAAGGAACGAGTTTGACATAATGGAGAAACAGCAAGAAGGCCAAGGTGGCTGGAGCCTAGGGAGTGAGGAGTACAGAGCAAATAAAGGTAGAGAAGTGGGCAGGAACCAGGGCTCATGGGATCTTTGAGACCATGAAAGGGGTCTGGGGACACTGAGCTATGGCAGCCTGGTCTCTCCTGATAGTATGGCTCACTGAGATGGGCACTGGAGAAGGAGTCTAATAGCCTGGGTTCATGTCTGTTTCAAGTTACTGTATGACCTTGGGCAATTCATTTGAACCTCCCTGAACTTAGCCACAAGAGGGATAATACACATCCCCTGATGGGGTATTTGGAAGACAAAGTAATGTGTTGGATGTCCACATGTGTGTGAACTTAGAGTCTTAGTGCTTAGGGAGAGAAGTGGGAAGACAATCCAGGTGGGGAAACAGTATAAGCAAAGGCTGGGGGCAGCCAGAGGCTGGGCATATGCAGGAAGCAGGGAGGGACTGGCCTGGCTGGGACATAGGGTTCTGGAGGAGGAGTGGAGGCAAGGTGGGACAGGAGGGAGCCCTAGAGAGCACAGGGCATTGAGTGAGACAGGCGTGCACTTCACCTTGAGTGCAGTGAGGGTCTCCTTGTTAACTGACCACAAGATGAAGCCTATGACTGAGGGATATTTGGCAACTCTCAGCTACTCACTGAATGCATGCTGGCCAGGCACCTGCAGGGGTCTGGTGGCCTAAGGCAGATCTGTCCCTTGAGGGACCCCCTTGGCAAAGAACAGGCCTGCTTCTCCTCTTGTTTGGATCACAGAGTTATTTCTGCAAAGATGCCCTGCTGGGCATCCCAGGTGCTTGGGAACCAAGGTATCCCCACAAGGAGCTCAGGACAGTACTGGAGAAAATAAGGTTCCAGCAGAGTGTCTGTTACCTCCGAATATTAGGGAAAGGGTCACAGAGCTTAGAGAGTAAAGACAAATGGGAAAAAGATTTCAACTCAGTATCGGAAGATATTACCAACTGGGACTGTGCAGATAAAGTGAGTGAGCTCCCTATCACGGAAGGTAACATTTACTTTGGGCTTGAAAGACTAAGTAGGATAGTGAGGAACTATTTGCACTCCCATGTTTACTGCAGGATGATTCATAAGAGCCAAGATATGGAAACAACCTAGGTGTCCATCAGTGGATGAAAGGATAAAGAAGATGCAATAAACATATATAATGGAATATTATTCCGCCACGAGAAAGAATAAAATCCTGCCACTTAAGACTGCATGGATGGACCCACGAGAAAGAAGAAAATCCTGCCACTTAAGACAGCATGGATGGACCTTGAGGGCATTATGCTAAGTGAAACAAACCAGACACAGACAAAAACTGCATGGTATCTGCTATATATAGTATCTTAGAAAGAAAGAAAGAAAGAGAAAAGAAAGAAGGACGGAAGGAAGGAAGGAAGGAAGGAAGGAGAAAAAAGAAAGAAAGAAGTCAAACTCACCGAAACAAGAAAAGTGGTTGCCAGGCTCTGGGGAGTGGAGGAAACAGGGAGAGGCTTAGTAAAAGCACAAACTTTCAGCTATAAGATGAATAAGGTCTGAGGATCTAATGTAAAACATGGTGACTATAGTTGATAACACTGTATTGTATCATTGAAATCTGCTAAGAGAGTAGAACATAAAAGTTCTCACTTGAAAAAAAAAGGACGGATATGTTGGGTGATAGACGTGTTAATTAATTAGATGGGGGGGTGGCGTCCTTTCACAATGTATACATATATCAAGTCACCATTATGTACAGCTTAAATATCTTATAATCTTATATGCCAATTATATCTCAGTAAAGCTTTTTTAAAAATTAAAATAAGTAAAATAAAATTGCAAAAGAGCATTTTTTGTTTGTTTGTTTTAAAGATTTTATTTATTTATTTGACAGAGAGAGAGAGAGAGAGCACAAGTAGGGGGAGCAGCAGGCAGAAGCAGAGGGAGAAGCAGGCTTCCCACTGATCAGGGAGCCCGATGTGGGTCTCAATCCCAGGACTCTGGGATTGTGACCCGAGCCAAAGGCAGATGCATAATGAAGGAGCCACCCAGGCACCCCAAAAGGACAATTTTTTTAAAGAAGCAGGAGTTCAGCAGATGAAACTAAAGGGGATGCGAAGGTTGACTGAGCCATTTCATTTTGTAGTTTCTTAAAAATTTCTAGGATATGATCATTCCATTCTGTACTTTATCTTCACACCCTACAAACCTGGTGAAAATGCTCCCAATTTCACCTTCCACTTCTCCTCTGCTCTCCACTCTCACTTCCCAGCACCAACCCGCAGCCCTACTTGGCAGTGCAGGCCCTGAGATTTCTGGCCTTAGCCGCCGGGGTCACCAGTAACAGTTGCAAATGCCTTTCCCATGTAATGAGGATAGAGGGCAGTTTGCACAAGCCCAGGGACTAGCGGGCTGTGGTGCTTAAAAAGCTCTGCATTTTTTTCTTGGTGTGCCTCTCTCTTTCTTTCCCTTTGGTCTTTTGCTTTGTTTCTTAAATTCCGCATATGAATGAAATCAGAGGGTATTTGTCTTTCTCTGACTTATTTCATTTAGGATAATACTCTTTGAAAAAAATAGTCATTAGCTCTATGTCATTGCAAATGACTTCATTCTTTTCTATGGCTGTGTAATATTCCATTATATATATGTATATGTATACATATATAGAGAGTATACCATTGTATATATATGCATATGTATATATATATACAATATATGTATATACTGTATTCCAGTGTGTGTGTGTGTGTGTGTGTGTGTGTGTGTGTGTGTATCTACCGCATCTTCCTGGTCCATTCTTCAGGTGATGGACACATGGGCTGCTTCCATAATCTGATGATGGAGGATAAGCTGCCATATAACCATGGAGAACACACTGATGGCTACTGGCGGTGGGGAGGGGAATGGGGAAAAGTAGGCGATGGGGACTGAGAAGAGCACCTGTTGTGATGAGCACCGGGTGACGGGAGGAAATGTTGAATCACTACATCGTACACTTAAACTCATACTACACTCTCTGCTAACGAACTGTAATTTAAGTAAAAACTTTTTTAAAAAAGCTCTGCATTTTTTCTCAAAGGCAGTTGCTGCTATTGAGTTCTAGCTCGTTTGGCCAAATCTTGAGATTATTTTTTTCAAGAGAAACCAGAAATCCTAAAAAAGAAAGAAAGAAAGAAAGAAAGAAAGAAAGAAAGAAAGAAAGGAAACCAGAAATCCTTATTTTTTTTAAATGTGGCCTTTCCCAATTTTTTAAACATTGGCAGGTCAATTAAAAAAGACTTAAACCCTAGAGAGCCATCGAGAAGGGGTCTGCCGCCAGCTCCAACCAGTGGTTGTGGACTGGAATGGCTGCTGCAGACATCCAGTTCTAGATGGGCTCCCGGATGCAGAAGTGCCCCTCTCCGGTCTCTTTGAGGCTCTATCCTGACGTGCACACAGCTTGGCTTCCTTGGGCCTGGGAATGCTTGTTACTAAGGCCTTTCCCCACCTGACATTTGGGAATCCTAAGTACCACCCCCAAGGCCCAGCTCTGACCTGATGTTCTCATTGGGCACCTTCCCGTATCTCTTGATGGCCGAACACTCATTCTTGTGGTTCAGCCAAGCATCCTTCTGGCACGTGCGGTCACAGTAGTGGGCAAACTTGCACTGTCCACAGCGATGGAGCTTCGCATCCTGCCTCTTGAAGCAGGTGTGGCACACGAAGTTAACCAGGCTGGAAATGGAGGGAGAAACGGGTGACTGGGGTGGCACAACAGAAAAGGAATGCACTAGACATTGGGCCCCATGTGGGAGATACTATTGCACCCTGCTTTATAAGCCTTTCAATTTAACTCAGCGAGTGTAGATTTATGACCCCTATTTGGTTGGCACTGGGAATACATAAGCCGTCAGAGTGAGTGAACCTGCATAAGGAGGCTAGGATAGTGGACCCATGGGGTGTTCCTGGAACACACTTGAACAGACACTTGAGGAGCCCAGGAAGTCTTCCAGGCCAAGGGACTGGGTGGAAATTCCTCATGGTCCCCCTGCCAAAAGCCACAGGTCACTGGCACCACAGCATGGGAGGGAGTGCTCTGTGTGACATGAACTTCTCATTCTTGAAATGCAGTGACCCTTTCCCTGAAGAATAAAACTCATATCTACAATATGAGGGAACATGAAACATGATACATTTTACACAAAATGGGGTCTGCACATTGTGATACATGTCACAGTTCTGTGCGTTTTGCAAGAGTAACAATTACAAGGTCACTGATGTCTCTGAGGTCATCCACTGTATTTTCCTGGCTCAGAGAGTGAGTGGCAGTGAAGAGAAGTTCATGCCTGCTCACTCAGGAGGAGAGGGGGAGAGGCATAGGCAGATGAGTTTCCTTACCCCATGCTCCCAGCCCCCAGTGTTCCCAAGAGAGAGCTGTGTGTCTCCCAGATGGGGGCTGTCTTTCAGGCAGAAAAGGGTATAGTTAGCATGAAGGAAACGTACTTCAAGACATAACCTAACACCCAGAGTGAGTGAAATCTGGTATGATGCGCAATATCTCAGTATCTCTGCAATGTGGGGAAAAGAAATCCTGGCCCCTGAAGCAGAGAAATGATGAAAAGAAGTTCAGCAGTACGCACAGAAGCACGGAGCTTCCCGGGGAAAATGGGTATGTAAACTCAGGCTGGAGTTTATAGTCTAAAGAGGGATCCAAAAGCATAGGAAAATAGGGGTTTTTAGAATCATACGTTCTAGAGCCTGAAAAAAAAAAAAAAAACTTCAATAAAACATACAAGTACAGAAATCCCTTGTGTCCATCCCTGACCGAGCCTTTTTGAAATTCCCATAGTAAAAAAGAGTGCACTGCTTCCAAGAAGAGTTAGTCCATTGTTGACCAGTCCTAACTATGGCAGATTTCCTCTTCGTGATAGGCTCAAATTTGCCTTCCCGAGAAACATACTCCTGTCATCTCATTGGGCTCTCTGGATCCTTGTCCCATGGAAAAGACCTGGGCAGGTCAGTGCTTCAAGAATCTGAAGACCACTGGCGTGACTCCCCTTCACTTCCCCTCTCAACGTTAAATATTCCCAGTCCCTTCAACAATCCCATTCTGGTCTCAGTGTGCCCACAGTGGGTCCCTGCAGCCAAAGGAAGGTGGACACAGCAGGGCAATCAAGCAAGATCCAGTGGCCAATGCCAGGGCAATAGCCCAAAGGCCAAGCCCCATGGTCCCAGGACAGCATCAAGAAATGGACAGACAGGTAGAGAGCCAAGCTGAGGGCACTGCATGGGCTATTACTCTAAGCTAGGTCCTGGGTTTCCTAAAGTCCAGTTTTCAGTCTCTGGGTTGCCAACTCAACACACCACTGTGTCCCCAACTACTATGAGGTGCATTGCTAATAATTGTTATTAACCATGAAGTACTCACAGGCATGGAAGGTTAGTGGTTATTTCTAAGTTTAGAACAGGTTCAAGGTTATCCCCATAATAATGTCTTCCTCCCTCCTCTGCGATCCCTTAAGCTTTCCAGTGAGAGAGGAAGGGTAGAATTACACTGGCATATTTAGAATTGCAAAGAATCTGCACCCATCGTAGCTATGCCACAGAGGGTATTCCCTGTTTGAGAAGGTCATCTGCCATGAGCACTCCAGCAGAATAGAACACACGGGCAGGGACCCTGATCATTTAATGGCGTCAACAAAACCCTAGAGATGGGAAGCTATAAATTTCTCACATCTGCCTCAAGTCAAGATAGCATTCTCTGGCAGGCATGTGAAGTTCATCAGCAGAGACTGAACTACTGAAGAGCCCAAGTAATTTGGATTCCAATGAGGCTCCAAATTCTGTTTCCTGGCCACTCAAAGGTGGATGGTGGGTCACGGTGCTTTATAATTATGGTACCCAGAACAGAGTACAGTATCACATTTCCTGGATCTGAACATTGTGATTCCATTAACTCTTTCAGCAAAAAAAATTCACAGTTATTTAAGATCAAATGACAAATCTAGACACCAGAACCTCCCAAGTTTTCTTAAAGGTGCTGCAGCCAAATCAAAGCTTCCCCCAATGTGTCCATACAATGCTGTGTTTTTAAAAATAGCTTTGAGGTATGACTGACATACCTAGCCAAAATCTTTAACTTTATAGACTCAGACATATGCACATACCTGTGAAACCATCACCATGACCAAGACAGTGAACCTATCCAACACTCCCCAAAATTTCTTCATGACATTGAACTTTTTTAACCTGAAGTGGGGGCCTTCCCCTTTATCCCTAGCTGATAGTATTCCAAATGGTCCAGACCACTTTGAACTTTCATTCTGCCATCACTTCTATCGGAAGATGATACAGGGCTAAGAGCAAGTCTTAGGTTGGGAAGAGGAAGGAGGAGCAGACGCCCACTTCTGGGGTCTCAGGACCCAGAACAGGAATACAAACCCAAGGCAGGAAAGAAAGGGAAATGGTGAGAGAGGAAAGAGAAGCAAGCACAATCATGCTGGTTGTCACTTGTGACTTGTCACATGGAGTTCCATGCCTATCTGCTCTAGGGGTGCCATCAGGGAACAACCCCACATTGGGACTGCTCTAGCATTTTACACCCAATTTTTAGATATTTTTAGACTACTCAAGCATAATATCCTCAATATACTCAAGCATATATATCCAGATATATTCACATTCATAGACATATTTCATGTGGAAACTGAAATTTGCACCTACCAAATATTACGCTTTGCAGTTCCTGCACTATTTCACTGTTTCACATTTTAAACAGAACCACAAACTCCAGGTGGTCACCTAGAATAACAGAGAAGTTCTGCTGCTTCATCTTTGTGGGCTCCACTTATTTCTAATATATTTAAACTTCAGGAAGACGTAGTAGCGCAGGGGCTGGAGACATGAACCATGGCCAAGCAACGGAGAACCTTAAGAACTTGCTCTTGCAACAAACACGTGGTGGAGGGCATGGGTGTTAGGTGTCGACCAGATGACTGAAGAGTCCTCTGGCTTAACCTTTGGGCAAGATACAATATTTATTGAAGGGTAAGTGATTTTAAAACGTGCTAATTTGAAGTTTATGCAAAAACAATTGTTTTGAACTGAGACCAAAGTAGATTCCCCTCCCCCCCCCCCCCCCACCAAAGAAGAGTATTGTATCCTAGACATTGTTTAGAATTACTGATGCACGGTGACAATTAAAACCAAGTCTTTAGTTAGGTTTTTAAATGTCAGTTTTGTTATTGTTTTTAAATTCTGTTTAGACAACACCCCCTTACGGTCTGCCCCAGGGATGGACCTCTGGCATTGCCTTCTCCTTGGTCCATGCTGCTTATAAAGCTCAAATTTTCTTAGCCTGGCTCGAAGGGAGGCAATACATCTGTACTGGAACCTGCCTCCAGGATCCCATGAACTGACTTACTACACTTCTAATGGGGCCTAATTATAGAATAATCTACCTGCCATGAATGATAGCTATAATACGTTCACACGAAATTCTAGTGGAAAGCCCCTCGTGCCTTCTAAGTCACTAGCAACCACTCTGACCAGGAGAAGGCTAGAGACAGAGGCCCCGTGCTGCAGCATAAAGACACTCCAGACCGGGTGTTAGAGAGACCTCTACAAACACTATACAATCAATTAGCGGTCCTTAATCAATTCAACTATCAGTTCAACATCATGTCACTATCATATTGTCTCATGACGGTCTTTACACTTTGCTATAATGAATTTTTATTACTTCTCGTAAGAAGAACATGTGATTAATTTGAAATGATTATTTTTTTCTCATAGTGAACTCATAGTGGGTTCCAGATGTTAGCCACCAAACTATCCAAACTATTTTCTACAGGCTCACACACTTGTTTTACAATCCATCCTACAAGTTTTCTAGGGCTTAGAGTCAAGTTTTATTTATTTATTTTTAAAAGATTTTATTTATTTATTTGACAGACAGAGATCACAAGTAGGCAGAGAGAGAGGAGGAAGCAGGCTCCCTGCTGAGCAGAGAGCCCCATGTAGGGCTTGATCCCAGGACCCTGGGATCATGACCTGAGCCGAAGGCAGAGGCTTTAACCCACTGAGCCACCCAGGCACCCCTAAAGTCAAGTTTTAAATCCTGGTGAAAAGCATTGTGAGTTATCTCCTAATTTAAATCTCCTTGGGATGAAGCTGACGTTTCTCTCCAACACCTCACCTGCCACTAAGGCTTAGCCCTAAGGCTGGAACCAGGAAGGAGGAGGGGGTGGGTGTGAAGCAGAGCTGGGCTTCTTGAACATCAGTGTGCATACACATTGCCAGAGACCTTGTTAAAATTCAGGTTCCAATTCAGTAGCTCTGCAGTGGGGCCTGAGATTCTGCATTTCTAACAAGTTCCTGGGTGATGCTGAGCTGTAACTTTGAGTAACAGGAATGTAGAGATGGGAGAAAATCTGCTCCTTCCCGTAGGGTATGCACAGAAGTGTCAGGAAGGCAGGAAGGAGATTAATTAAAAAAAAAAAAAAAAAAAATCCTATCCCTCTGGTCTCCATCTCCCTGACTGATGGCAGAATGGGTATTATGGAAGGTCAGACCTGGAGTCAGTCAGAGCTGGGTTCAACTCCTGATTCTAGGAGCTACCAGCTGTGTGACCTCAAGCAGGTACCCTAAACTCTCTGAGTCTTCATCTCCTTATGTGAAAATGGGAATAACAACACCTAGATCTTGAAATCTTTTAGACAGATGAATATTACTTG